GGGCCTTATTTTTCTTTAATAAAAAAAGTGTAAATTTTGATAACTTCTAACCCTTCTGTTGTTCTTCTGTTGAGAAGATCAAATGAAAGCATTTGGACTATGGAGTCCTTTTCACTCTTCTGCAGGGTTATTAAGAAGCAGTTTTTCTTTAGCTACAACCTTTCTGGTTGCTATTAAAGATTTCCAGGCGTATTTGCTCCCTAATCAGGAGCAAACTCTTGCTTTGTAGCAAGTTTCTCTTAAAGAAAAATATTTTCCCCCTATTTCCTAGCTTTCTCATTCACCTCAGTATTTGAGCATCTTTGAAAGGCTTGGGCAATGTGATTAACATTGACTACATTTGTTTCTCATTTGTCTCTAAGGAAAGAAGGATATGAAGTATTTTGTGTATAAATAAGAGAAAAATACCCATTCCTGACAACAGAGTTTAGTTTATATTAGTTCATAGACTGTGGCTCACATAACATGGCCAAGAAAAGTGACCACAGACTAAAGCATGAAGATAATAATTTAGCCTATGAAAAGTAGGAACTAAGATGCTGATCTTGATTCAAAGAGAAGCCAAAGCAAGGCACCTGGGACAAGTTAACTGTGCTCACTGGAAATTAATGTTGCTAAGAAAATTCTCAAAGCTTTCTGTAACTGGGTATTTTGAAAACACCAGAGGCTGTAGCCTCTGGTTTGCAATAGGGTACATGATGAAATTATGAGATTATGAAATTTTCAGTCCAGAAGCCTTTATAACTTCATAGCAGATGGAAATGCCCAATAATCCTGATTGTAAAATTTTTATTTTTAAGACTTCTAAGGTTTATTTATACACAAACACTTTTCATAAGCTATATATAGAAAGATGTGCCCGAACATTGAAGAGGAAGCAGTTCAGCTTGCTGTTATTGTTGATTTTTGCCCTAAAATAAATCTGAAACATAAATCCATTAGTAAAACTTTATAAAGGCGAAACACTTATATAATCCTGACACCCTAAAACTAAACAAAAGAATTTTGGCTTCAGTTTCTTTTTAACAGATGTGAAGATGTAGCTGTTACATAGATCTTTATTTCTGTGCTACCTTACTCCAGCTTGTGAAAGTGCGTTTAGTCAAGGAACTACAGCTGCAGTGGTGGGACTCAGCCTATTCACTCATGTTAATCTGAGCCTAATGCAGGAAAAGATACCGGGGAACAGCTGAGCTATTTGACAGTTCTCCAGCAACTCAGGTCACCTACAACAATTGTATGTATAGACAACACATGGAAGGAGCCAAGCACAGGGAGGCAAGGAATCTCAAAGCATTTAGTGCCCTCATTTTTTTTTTAAACAAGACTTGGAAATATAAGACCCCATAAAATAATGAGTCACAAAATTTGACTGTGTACCCACCCTGTTTAGATTGGCAAAATATAATTACTCTCACAAAGAATTATTTGGTTTTTAAGTGGTGCCAATCTATGGTAGATTCCACATGCTCAAGCCTGGAACATCTCCCAGGGTGTCTGCAGTTAAAAAAAAAAAGTTTGGTAACTCTGCTTCTAAATTTACTGGAACTTCAAATCTCAGTCACTTATACTGCCAAGATCACAGGTCAATTATGGAGAAAGCCACAAGAAAAACAATTACAGAAGGAAAGTTAACATTGCTTTAAATAATTTTATTGTAATAGACTCTTTAAATGGATGAGATTTAAAGTGACTCTCTGTGAATATGGAATTTCATAAACAAGCAGCATAAACCCTTTAAAATACAAATTTAAAATACAAATGTGAATATTTACAAGATTAAATATCATAATAGTCTTTGTGCATATGCTCTCACTATTATTATTTTGCAAAGCATTCTTTTTTTAGGAAACATTTCTTTACCAAGAAGGTGGTCAAACATCGAAACAGGCTTCCTAGACAGGTGTTTGATGCTTCAAGATTGTCAGTGTTCAAGAGGCATTTGGATAATGCCCTTTGTAACGTGCTTTGCCTTCTGATCAGCCCTGTCAGATAGTTGGACTAGATGGTCATTATAGATTATAGTGTATCCTATCTTATCCTATCCTAATTATTTATTAAGATATAACAGTTCTTTTCCTTTCCTTGTTAAAGATCACAGCACCTGAAAAAGGCCCTGTCAGCCTCCTACAAAGCTTGCTTTGTGCCTCTGTTTTCATGTAACCATTGTGTATGTGTCTTGCTGCCTTTATTGATTTTGCTCCTGTCAACACTAGAGTTTATAGAACATCAGCAAAGTCATATTTATCTTGAGAATCTGGGTGGACATCACTGAGCTCATGTGGAAGCCAGTTGAGAGCCTGAAAAAATTAACTGTTTGGTAATTATTCTTACTAGAGCTATTTTCTTGTTCGCAAGGGATTACAGCTTGTTTTCATAGAATCAAGGAAGGGACCTTAAAGATCATCTACTTTCAAACCCTCTGCCCATGGCAGGGACATCTTTCACCAGAGCAGGTTGCTCAAAGCCCCATCCAACCTGTTATTGAACACCTCCAGGGATGGGGCAGCCACAGCTTCTCTGGGCAACCCGTTCCAGTGCTTCGCCACTCTCACAGGGAAGAATTTTTTCCTAATACCTAATTTAAAACTACTCTCTTTCCATTTGAAGCCATTCCCCCTTTCCTGTCACTACAGGCTCTAGTAAAAAGTCCCTCTCCATCTTTTCTGTGGGCTCCCTTCAGGTACTGGAAGGTTGCAATTACGTCACACCAAAGCCTTCTTCTCCAGGCTGAACAATCCCAATTCTCTCAGCCTTTTCACGCAGGAGACGTGCACCATCCCTCTAATCATCTTGATGGCCTCCTCTGTTCTCAGTCAATGTCCTTCCTGTGCAGGGAAGAGACATTAAGAGACTGAAGTGTTTATGGTTTATGGACTCAAACAATGGGCCACTGGCAAAAGCAGCAAGAGCTTTGCTGAGGGCAGGTGTGCACCCCCCAACCGAAGGGGAGGAGGAGAGGTTTTGGGTGTTATTATCTACTCTTATCCTTTCTTTCTCTTTCTTTTCCTTATATATTTTCTTAAGTGACACCTTTATACTTTTATATTTCTATCAATAACAACCAAAAGGGCTACGTACCTCCTCTCCATTGCAACCAAATTGTTCTAAAATAAACCTGCCATACATATATATACATATAAACACTGGTAATTCAGTGTTGTTTCACTCTGATCTGCCCCAAGAGATCCATTAACAAGGACCTCAGTTACGCTAGCTCCAGGAACTGCAGAGCTGGATGCAGCACTGCAGGTGGGGTCTCACCAGAGCAGAGCAGAGGGGCAGAATCCTCTCTCCTTATGTGCTGCCCACACTGCTTTGGATGCAGCTCAGGATATGTTTGGCTTTCTGGGCCGTGAGTGCACACGATGGCTAAGGTCCAGCCTCTCACCCACCCGCTCCCCAGGTCCTTCTCAGCAAGGATGCTTTCCATCTGTTCATCCCCTAGCCTGTGTTGATACCAGGGGTTGCCCCAAACAGCACTTGGTCTTGTTAAACCTCATGATATTCCCATGGACCCGCTTCTCAAGCTTGTCCAGGTCTTTGACCAAAATGTTTTAAAAAACCTAGTTATATAGATTGGTAAGTTTAATAGTTCTAGGAAAATATCAAGGATGACAAACTCTTTTTCAGAACTTACATGCAAAGAAATGTTTTCTGTGAGTGAAGCCAGTGGGGTTCTGGCGTCATGGCTAAGTTTTGAAGGTCAAGCACTTGGTTCCTGAAGCACATCAAGACCTTTTGGTTTTGAGAATGCTGTAAGTCACTCCCAGTAGCCACCTGTGGCCTTACTGGGATCAGTTTACCCTACCTACAATATTTTTCAGAGAAATACACTTTGTCCTTGCTCAGAGATGACCAGAATATGCCTAGTACTACACAGAGCACTTGCTGAGAAGGGAGGGCTGCACTAAACTTCCCACTAATCTGGGAGTCTGGGCAAAGAGAATTTGAACCTGCATGTGAAATATCACAGTAGCCATTTCCCCAGCTGAGACAAATTGCATGAGAACACTCCCCTCTACATCACCTTTAGGTGGTGAGAGATGGGTACAGTGACCACCAGGTGAACTGTTTAAGCCAGAATTACACCTCGATTTAAAGAGTGAATCACTGAAAATAAAGGTTATCTGTCTTTCTTCTAGGACCATATATCTTCTAGTTAAGAAAGCACATAGAGTTTGTCCTAGCCCTTTCTGCAAGTTGAACAAGCCCAGCTATTCTGGCCTAGAAACGTCTCTGATAAGACAAGTGCTGAGCCACAGGTTATCTACCTTAACAGCAGGTTCCCACAAAGATTTGGAAGGAAAAATACATATTTTTCCAGTAAAATAAACCTTTCGGAACCTAGCAAATCCAGCACGTAAGCTGTTTGTGACCTTTGAATTCACTGTATGTTTTGAGTAAGAGAAAACAGGGGTAATTTTTATTTTTACAAGAGGCAATAGCTTTTTTTTCCCCCCTGAATGGTATTTCCCCTACATAACATTTCAAATATGAAAGAGTGTGCTGCACTGTTATTTATTCCTCTAAAACTTCTTAGGAAGCATTGATTTATTACAAGGAAATTAAAGAGCTATCTATGTCAACATTGCAATTAGAAAAAACATACTTCCATCTAGAGTTTTTATACCACATAACTTGAAATTAATTAGTCACAGTGATATTTATAAAGATTATTATGTTCCTAAAAATGAGAGATAAATAGTTAGTAAAAGGCAAAACTACTGAGAGTGACTTAAATGGTAGATGTGAAAACAGATGACCAACCAGATCCATAATATATGAAAAATCCTTAGAGTTAGAGGGAATTTTAGATTGAAAAAGATCTTTGGATGTCATCTAGTCAAACTGTCAGTCACAACAGGGCCAGCTTGGATCAGTTTGCTTGGGATCATGTCCAGGTGAGTTCTACCTATTCAAGGATGGAGATTTCAGTGTTTCTGTTAAGTATAGTCTAAGTACAGTTAGCAGCACAGATGAACAGAAAACATCACAAATTTCTTCTTTATATTACAATTTATTGTAAGATCAAAGGTTTCACGAAAAAATAGAAACTTACAAATTGTGTGAATAGTTTTAACATTAAAAGAAAAATGACCAAGATTCTGTACTATATCTGTAATATAATTAACTGGCTTATTCTCAAAATATTGTTGCCATTTTGGAGTAAATAAAAAGCATAGCATTACACATGTTCACAAGTATTTACCATTTATTTAAAACAAAATCTTTACCATATATATTTTTCCAGAGAAATTATTCATCCCCATATTGAAAAGTCTAATAAGAAAACATTCAACATCCTCACTGGAAGTTCTGTGAGCTGATGTTTCTGTTGTAAAAAATTATGCTATGGAAATCAACAAACAGTTTTACAGAGAGTTATACAGCCATACTAAACAAGTTTCTTTGTTATGCTGCACTAGGCCTTCTGGATTAGCAAAACATTTTGACGATAATGGCAACTTTTCAGCTGAAGCTTAAGCATTTCATACTTTGGATTAATATGCTGTAACCTTTGAAGAACAAATATCCAGTGTTACATACCTGACAACATTCCTAACCAAATGGTAATACTCTAAAGGTTAAGGCAACTCCAAATTGAAGCTGCAGTGTCAGTATTTTCACGATCCCCTGCTCAAACTTAACTCTTTAGAATGCAATGTGACAGAAAATGAATCATTTTATGTGTTTACTCTGGATATTTTCTTGCATACACTGTATTAAAAAGCATCTAATATCTGATCCTACAAAATGGTACCCATGACAGGACCCATGTTCAGATGGCATTTTCAAGGTAAGCACTCTTTGCATTGTAAAATCCATTAAGGTGGAAAGATTTTAATATCGCTACAGCTTCTTATATGTAAAGAAAAAAAATGTTTACAACAAAGTAGCAATTCACTGTAAATTTTCCTATTACTGTGTATCTTAAAACCTCCTTGAGGTTTAAGTAAATAATAAGCTTTTGTAAATAATAAGCATCAAGTTTAGTCCCCAGTTTCAACATATGCCTCTGTTGATCAACTGCATTGGTGCTAGCACTGAGTTACCATTTACAGATCAAAGGAAACGCACACGACCAAGGCAAAGTAAACAGAGGAAAACAAGCTTAACATCTATAATTCAAACTATCCAGAGAACTAGTAGGATTCAACCTCAAGAAATTTGCCAAAGGCTTTTAACTTTTATGCAAACAAAACCACGATACATTTCTAAAGTTTTGCTTCAATGTTAGTTGTACAGTACAATAAAGTCAGTGTACAGTTTTTGCCATTTTACTGTAACCTCTGTAAACTCACAACTATATTGCATCAGATGAAAGGTTATAAACCCTTCTGCAATCCCCATTAGATCTACTGAATGCAGCAGAGTGGAACTGTCATGTTGGTACAGAAGTTTAAGAGGCAGGGGACATGTTGGGTGTCCAGCCCAGTTGATAAGCCCGTTCCAATGTTCTCTTGCAATCCTGCAGTACAGTACTGAAGGTTATATGTGGATACTGCTGCACGAGCTGCTCCACTGTGGCTTCGTTCACCTGCAAGAGAAGAAGAGAATCTGTGATGTGCAAAAAGGGCAATATTAGGCAAGCTAAATGAATGGCCAAACTTTGGACTCCTGGGAGGGCTTGCAGCATTGGGCTCCTCACTGTTACTATGGTTTTGGGTGCATTTATATCACAAAAGAAACATATAGAATGTAATGTCCTGCTAGAGAACTAAAACCACCAAAACCAAACCTCACACCTTGATTTTATTGTAAAGGGGGAAGTTTTAAATAGTATTCTGGTAAAGACAAATAGTCTTTGTTGTTTAGAAAACTGCAACAATGGTTAAAAAGCTCTTAAACTACCTTCATTCCATGCTTGACTATGCTGTCTCTTCATGAGGCCCCAAACCAAATTATCAAAACATTCATCCTGTTTAAAAAAGTGCTGCCTAGAGCAACAGATTTCTACCTTGAAATAGAAGCATATATACCCAAAGTTGATCAAGCAGACATAGATTTAAAATGTAAGATTTTTTTGACTTTGGAAAATGAAAACAGATTACATCTATTAATTAATTTATGGCACAGTTATGGATACTTTTTCAAATACTAAGTAGTAGCTCCACAATTAACTTTACTGAAATGAACTTGCACTGGTAGCTATCAATGGGTTTGCAATGAAAAAACAACAGATAACATGACTAAAGATGGGGTAAAGAATGCAAACTATTCTATGCTGCAGGTAGATCAATTTACCAATTATTGTTATAGGTCAGCTTTCCGAAGGTTAAAAATCCTGCATGCCTTCACATACATCACTGTCAGAAGTTTTTATTTTAGCCTTCTGGTGTGAGGATGACTCTGCAGAAAGGGTTTTGTGGGCAGAAATGGTGGGATTAATAATTAAATCACACAAGATTTTTGGGTCTGGGATGTCCCTCTGATAAGGCAATCAGACAAGCCTAGCTAAACCTAACACTTTTACAATTGCAGTGCTGTGAGGGGATTAATTTGTCAATTATTTTTAAGATGACCACACTTCATATCACAGAAGTAGACAGTTTTCTTCAACCTTCAGATAAATAAAAGATTAACCTAAGAACTATGACTCCTAGTTAGGTCTCTTTGAAATCCTCGCTGAACACTTGGGCATTTCAAAATGCATCAATACTACAGTTGCTGAATCACCTATATCAGTAGGATGTACAACTGAAAGCATTGTTTGCTTTTTTTTTTTCCCCACAGTGTTTCACATTCAAGGCCAAAAGTAAAAAAAACAGACTAAACTGTTTACTACCATTACAAAGATCTGTCATGCGAATAATATTTTAAAGCACAGTGACCACAATATCTAATAATATTTTTGTCCTTAAAAGATAACAAGGAGCGCTTCCTTCTGAACAGTGATTGCACCTAGTGACAAGGATAAATGAAAGGTTTAATATCCAGTTCTTCTACTTTAATAATAGAAACACTCAATCTTCATTGGAAGTTTCATCTAGCTGAGACTGACTTGGCTAGAAAACTGGTTTAACTTCACAGCACAAACTGTACTCCTCTGGCAAATTGCTATGTTACAGCAACATCTTCCAGTGCTGAAAAACAAGAAGTGACTTTTAATAAATCAAAATGAAATAGCACAAGTCCCCCAAAATATTTGATATTTATAGCTGAATACACACTTGCAAACTGCAAGCAACCGTTCATAGAAATATTGCTTGGAAGGGAAGAATCCCCCAACGTAGCAGTATTTGCTATTTTATGCTAATTTTCAGAAATAGTCAAAAGGCTCTTTTCTTTTAGATTTGTGGCACAGACACCCATAGCAAAATCTATCATGCTACCAGAAACTTCTCTTAATGGTTAACTCGGCCACAGGGAAGATACTTGCCACAGACAGCTGCTCATTTTGCTCTTTCTGAATGGGAAATTTAAAGATGTATTATTTATCTACTAGATAGCTGTAAATATCAGTAGTAGACGGAAGTTAATATGATTTGACAGCTACCTGTTGGCCATTATTTGTTGGAATAGCATGGATATTATAGCTTTATAGCCAATACAACATGCCGATTTTCTATTACAGGAGACAAATAAGGCAAATTCATTACGAAGATGGTGTTCAAACACAAGACGACAGTAAATGATCTCCATGTCCTGGCGGTTTTGACTCATGACATTTACAGAAGCTACAGTCTAGTTAATGTATTTATTACCAGGCTAACTTAAGCACAGCCCACGATACTCAGGAAGACAGATGATACAAATAGTACCTTTTAGACTTAAAACCTATGAAGAAATCTATGGTAAACCATCTAGCACTAGGACTGTTTGTTGTCAGTTTTTTTCTGATACAATTATTACTTGATAAAATAATATTTAATACAATTTTTACTAATTTCAATTAATACTTAACTAAATAGAAGAAGGAAACTTTTGGTGTTGAGTGCCAAATACAGTCAGAAAATAAGAAATAAACATGGACATAAACAGAAGGCAGGTAAAACCATTGCAGAAGTGCCACTGACAAAACCAGTGATTTTATGACCAAAGCCTAAAAAGTTTTCTCCATTTTTTCCTGGAGCATTAAATGAACTTTTTAAATCATTAGTTTGATCCTAGACAACAATTTGAGTTATAACTTGTTGGTAAACAACAAGGTAATGGAAAACTATGTGCATATTTGGAACTTTAACAGATACAGAAAGAAATTACTTTGAGCTTAAAAAGTTGATTTTACTCTCATGATAGAGAAAAAAAAATCTTACCAAGCTTCAAGATTAATGATCAAATATATGATCCTTCAGGTTAAATGTAAATATTTTTAATACTAAGGAAATAACAGCAAATAGCTAAAAATTATGCTGGACAAAATAAATTCAGTGCAAGATTACACAAGAGAAGATGGAGGAAAAAGATCCTGTTTGGTAGTGGAACAACCTACATGGATCCAGAGATGAGAAACAAATGTGGACAGTTAAGCTAGAAATGATCCCCTATCAGAAGATTTCAATACCTTTTCTTTCACTGTGAGAAAAGTCAGGTCAAACACTAAAACAGTGTAAAACTTTCAGTATTTTAAGCTTTCTTTAGTACTGGACTAAAATTCCACTGTCTAAAAGGTAGGAAAAAAAAGAGAAATAAAAGTTTTATTCTTTGTAAATGAATGTGAAAAATAATATCTAAGTCAACTCCCTTAGTATCCTTCTAATCAGTTTCCCTAATGGCAGGATTAAGATGAGAAGAAGTCTTATGTAAAACCACTAGAACATAAGCTTCTGTCTCTTTCTAAGATCAGTCCGGCTGGTGATAAAACAAAAGTACGGAATGTCATTCCCAAAATAATTTCATTACACAAACAGAGCAATTTTCCCCTCTGAGCTTCAACACTCTTGTTCAATGAATGAAAACTAAAAATCTTCACATCTTAATATGCTTTAAAATGTTATATTTTTCTTTCACAGAACTTGCACTAATCTTCATCTTTTGAGTTGTCAAAGAAAGGCTACTTATGCAGATAAACTACTTAGATTATTTAATACATAATCATTCATTTGAATTTTAATAGCTCTTCAATTATATTTTAACACATAATGGAAGAATGCATCCCTTATCATTTAGTGTGAAAGTAACAGGTTTGTGCAAATCCTGGTCATCAAGCAAAAAAAAGAAAATAACAGCAAAGATTGATTTGAAACTTTGTCTCAGTTTGAAGAGACTGGAAAGTTTGCTAAAGAGGATGAGTTATGAGAAAAACCAAACTCCTCTCTCTCAGCAATTGCAAATTCAAAATTAAGGGGTTTTAATCGAGGAAGTGTGGAAAAACCAGAAGAAATAGCAACCCTTAATTAAAAGTTATATGTATGTTGGCAAAAACAGTAACAGAACACAAAAAAACTAGGCAATAGGCCTGTACCCAAAAAAAAGTCCCCTTCAAACAATAGAAAAAAAACCACACACAAAAAAGTCTGAATGAACACTTCTCTGTCCTTCAGCGCAGTTCCAATCCCGGCCGGCAGGGGGCGCTGTTGGATCGCTGGAGGTGCAGAGCCTGCAGTGCTCGGTGTTGCCCTGCAGGGGGCGCTGTCGGGCTCTGGCGGTCACCGCGCGGGAGGGGGGTCTGGGGGTGTCTCGGGCGTGGAGAAGCCGAAAAGAAACAATGGGGGGCTCTTCTCCCAATGGAAAAAGGGCAGAAGGAAAAGCAGTCCACCCCCACAGGACTCATTGTTGTTCTCAGATGATGGCGCCCCAAAACTCCTCCTTTTGTCCCAGAGAGCACAGAGACTCTCCGATGAAAGCCCAGTAGGTCCTGGCTGGAATCACGAGGCAGTGTGCGAGCCCATCGGGGCCCCCTCTCCAAAAATGCCCGGACACAGACCCTGTCTCTGTCCCAGAGAGAGAACTCCCCCGTCTGATCTCTTCCCTCCCAGAAAAGCCAGCCACCCCCTCCCAGAACTCCTCCCCTCTCCCCCTGCCTCTGATGGGCCATTCAGTAGGAATGCAGCTTGGTCAGCTAGATTCTTTTGTAAGGCTAATTGACTTTTTTCCATTCGGGACTCCGTCTTTCTTACAGTGGGGGGCAGGGGGAAGAAAATTCTCCTGGATTTCTAACCTTAACAAACTTACTTTTTCTTGATAAAATAAAAATTTATTCCAGGCCAAAGAATAGATTAAAAGCCAAAACAAAGCCAAGAAGACAGACTACAGAAACTGGCAGGACCAAGTGGTATCATCTCCCTTTAACTCAATTATAGCAGTTACATAGAAGTAATAATTTTGAATCCTTTTTTCTTAAAGACATCTGAACTCATATTGCCTATTTCCCAGAAGAATATACTTGACTTTTTGATAAATGTTTTTTCTGGGGTAGGACCTCCTTAATTTCTTCTTCTGATGATGACAGTGTAGTTGTACAGAGAGTATTTAAATACTATCTGCTCTAGAGAATATTTCCTCATGTGATTGATAATTAGGAATTCATCTTGGAAAGAAGAACAAGAATACCCTTTTAGTCCATGTGAAGTGGAATCCTGACGAAAGGGTTCTGTG